TATCTATCTATCTATTTATCTATCTATCTATCTATCTATCTATCTATCTATCTATCTATCTATCTATCTATATGTCTGTCTGTCTGTCTGTCTGTCTGTCTGTCTGTCTGTTTATCTGTCTGTCTCTTCGTCCGTTCTTGTGTCCGTTCGTCCGTCCGTCCGTCCGTCCGTCTGTACATCCGTCCGTTTGTCAGTCTGTCCGTTTGTCAGTCTATCCGCCTGTCCTGACATATTTATCTATTTCAATATGACCAATAATTTATAAAGACTTGGAATTAAAAACGACTTCTTGTAGGTCTCATATTGTGTTATGTTCTGTTAATAAAAAGAGAAAAGTTTACACTGTAATATTTGTAAGGCCAAAGATCGTCTGTAGAATATATGGTCGCTTTTAAGGACAAGCGCCCTAACCCAGATTTCGGGGTTTTTCAGAAATCTTGATCTACACCAAAAGTGGGCATTGCCCCACCAATAGGAGGAGTTTGGTTTCATTAGTGTGTATATTTGTTTAGTTATAGGGAAAACTTTCCTTGTCTTTTACAGAAACTTAATAAGGATCCAAAAACTTTTAAGTTTCGATTTTCTCAAAACAGCATTTCTCGGGATAGCCCCCTTGTGCTTAAAAGCAACCATGTTATGTATACATAATTTTATAATAATTCCTTTGTCTGTTAGGGTTTTTTAGATCTCTTTCGAAGTTCCCTCACCTAGTGCGAAGAATGGCACGTGACCCACGTACTTGACCAGACGACCGAACAGGATGGAGCAGATGGCGTCTACCACACCGTAGCAGATCATGACGTAGCCGACATTCCAGATACCCAGGGAACAGCTGATGTACGACTGAAGAAATAGTGATGAGGATGATGATGATGGTGATGATGATGATGATGATGATGATGATGATGATGATGATGATGATGATGATGATGATGATGATTTTTTTTCGTTTCCTTAATGGGCCTAGAGGACTCCACGAAGAAATCTTCGAGCGAGAGCGAGACTTTTTTTCGGCACCAATGTCAATATACTTAGCGTCACCTCCACTTGTCAAAATAACTCTATTCAAATCGCCATTGTTCCTAGACATTCAAACATATATGTTCGAAATCCTCCTTTTCATGGCCGCATCTTCGGCAACGTGGGCTGATAATAATAATAGATAGATAGCATTTGTATAGCGCATATCCCCGCTCAACAGCAGGCTCTATGCGCTTCACACTATATTATTACCCCAGCAGACCATAGAACACTCCGGAACATTCTCAGCTTCCCGGGAAGCACACAGGTTGATGATGATGATGATGATGATGATGATGATGATGATGATGATGATGATGATGATGAATAATTTGATGATGCTGTGTGTGTGTGTGTGTGTGTATGTGTGTGTGTGTGTGTGTGAGTATGTGTGTGTGTATGACAGTGAGTGTGTGAGTGTGTCTATGTATGTGTGGTTGTGTGTGTGTGTTTGTGTGTGTGTGTGTGTGTGTGTGTGTGTGTGTGTGTGTGTGTGTGAGAGAGAGAGAGAGTGTGGTGGAGCGGTTGGGGTGGGGCAATTTTTTATTCTCTCTTTCTGAAATTAGAATTAGTACTATTTCGCGCATTCAATCTTTACTGCCAGTATTTAGCTCTCTTCTTTAATTGATGTGCAGGTATAAATCAATCTGAAACTTGAATATTGTATACCTGATTCGGAATTGAAAGGACAGTGCGATCGTCTCTCATTGTGCTAGGGTTAAATGTCCTGTTTTTAATCGTAGGTGTTTAACGTCCCATTGACACTTTAAGCCCTTGCAGCTCCAGCCATTTTGGTGCACTCCCTAACCCCAGTCCCAGCCAATACAGCAGTATTTCAGAAAAAGAGTCGTGCATTCTAAAAATGATGTCGTTTCTTTGTAATGAGTTTTAGATAACAGCATATAACAATGTTCAAAGGTAAATGAACACATATTATTATGAAAATAACTATTTTTAAATGCGCAAATTCGGTACCCCGGAAAATGAGAATATACTACGCTCTTGGAACAGTGGGAGGTACAAGTATATTAAATTTTATATGCGCATAGATAGTGCAGGAAGGGTTAAGAGGCGGACTCCCAGCCTGCCTGTCAAGGCCAGATTAGGCTAAGAGGGATACAGCACCCCATCAGAAAGACTGAGTTGCTCGACAGAATCTAAACCCACTCCCTAAGCTGAAATCGTTCGTGGGTGGTTGGTGGGTGTTCTGGTGTGGTTTGCTCCTTCTTTCCTATACAAAATCTATCGTCTCTATCTCTCCTCCTTCTTTTTTGTGTTTGTTACTCTCTTGTAACATTTCTAATCTTCGGCACTTATATGACCTTATTGTGTTGCAAGTGCCGCAAAACTCTTACTAAAACTTTAAAAAGAAACTGAAATCGTTCTCCGGACTTCTGTGAGTGACGGCGACCTGCCTGACCGCTACGTCACAGACGCCGTTTAACTTCCTGCCTCTCTTTCTATTAAACCTTTTTTAAGG